GACTTATAATAGAGTGATAATGGATTTGGTTTATAATTTTTTTGAAAATAACATATTTAACGAAGACTATTTGTGTGATTATTATTTTGAAAGAAAGTAACCACCGTATGGTTATTATTTTGAAAGAAAGTAACCACCTTACGGTTATTATTTTGAAAGAAAGTAACCACCTTACGGTTATTATTTTGAAAGAAAGTAACCATCAACATCAATAATAATAAGGGGTAAAATTGGATAAAAGAAAGTGGAGACCAAATATTTATAAGTTTTAAAATATTATTTTTTGTAATTTTAAAACTATTAAAAATTAAATAAAATTCAAAATTCAAAATTATGCAAATTTTAAATTCAAATTTTTAATAAAATATGATTATATATTTAAAATTTTAAATCTATCAAGATAATAAGTTTAAAAATGAATTTTTATAATTTAAAAGGAAAAAAATGAATTTGGAAAATAGAGATATCTTAAATTTGAATTTTTAAAAAGTTGAATAAATTTAAATTTAATGTAGACATAATGCAAAAAATCATGGTAAAAAATGACTAAATTTACTAAATTTACACTAATGAATCCTAAGAAAACAATTATCCAGTGGCAGACGGAGATGAATGAACCATGTTAGGGTTCACATGACTACTCTCGCGCGTTAGGATTTGTAGTTTGCGTGAACGGTGGCTAGGGTTTCTAGTCTGTGAGAAGAAGAGAAGGTTTCGCGGAGCAGGCGGCGCTTAGGGTTTTTAGTTTTACTCTCGCGGTGCTACCTTTACAAGAATAAATAACATACCTTTTAATTGTTTTGGGTCGGTCGGGTATATATGGATACCGACGGGTTAAAATATTTTAACCCGAACCCGACCAACAAAACTCATTGCAAACCGAGTCTAACAACCTGCAAAATCAGAAAAATCAAAAATAACCGGCCGAACTAAGAAACTCACCGCGGAAACTTTTGGTTTCGGTCGGGGCAAAATTTTCTACTCACGTCTAGTAGTATCTTTATTTTTTTATTTTATAATGATAAGAAAGTGAAGTACGAATTATATTTCAAATAATGAATAAAAATTATCTGTGTATTTTATTGGCATAAATAAGTTTATTAAATGTTAATAATTTTGTTTTATAATTAATAGAAAATATTTGCATTCTAAAAGACACAAAAGTTTTTTTTAGAAAATAGTGGATTTGGATTCGAATTGTGATATCTCTATCCTATATGCATAAATTTTATAAGTATAATACTAACTTTTTGTATAAATAAAAATTCAAGGTAAATATAGCATATTGACTAAAATTAAGCAATAGCAAAATCAAATCCAAAAGTTATTACAAGAATACAAATTAATACTAGAATTAATTTTATACTAGCATTTAGTTTTCTAATGCAAATACTAGATGAAAATAGTTCACTGACTGATGTTTTGATGTCATACCCTATCAGAATATTTTCAACACAAAATTGAGACTTATCATCCAACATTACCAAAGTCAAAATCACGTACCTACAGTTATACAATAAAACAACCACAAGAAAAAAATAAGAGTGAGAAACATTTCACTCCAATCATTTGTGTAAGAAATAATTGAGTAGTCACACATATACATAACAATAATTATGCTTGTAAAACAACAAATACTTTTAATCATGTTTATAATTCTCAACAATCAGAACATACTAGACATCATACTTTGATCACAAGATATAACAAGGTTTGTTCCACACATATCAATAATCATCCTATATATTTGCAATTAAAAAACAATGAATATGTTATTATCGTGCAATGGATAAGACTCTTCCAAAATTATATGCATGTGGTGTCAAAAAAATCAATTTATCATAGTTTGAAGGTATTAGTAGCATAGGAGAACATGTCAGGTCAAGTCATCACAACACTCTATGCTAGGAGAAAATACATGAGTGACACGTCGGGATAGTTATATTGGTCAAGTTTCACCCATACACACAATGTGGTGGAATTGAGACTCCTAAACCTAATTATCTCCAAGGTCATGAATTTTCAATCTTTTACATAAGGGGAGTCTTCTCTAACAATATATTTCACATCGTACCATCACTAAATACATAATACATATGATGCATGTCATACAGACTTAGTGTTATGTCAAAAAATTATGATTACTTAGACAAATTTTAAATTTGAGTTTTACTCTAATATGATTTATTTATTTACATTTTATTCTTCTGACTTTTTAAAATGTAAATTTATTTAAATAAATTTTTATAATTAAATTATTTCAAAATATCACTATATTATTATTTATTCAATCATTATCTCATTATACATATATTGATAAAATTAAATATAAAAATTATAACTTTTAAAAAATGAATTTGATTATAACAACAATTATATGTATTGTTAATAATATATTTTATAAGCATGCCATGAATTTAAAAGAAAATTTAATTATAGTCTAACAATGTTTCAATTTTTTAATACATTCAATTTTTTTTAAAATCGCTAATATGAAATTAATACTCAATAATTTTAAAAAGATATAAACTAATTTTTTCTATCACATTTTAAATGAGTAATAAAAGTTTTCAAATGATCAACAATAATAATATGTTCGCTTATACATTTTTTAATTTATAAAAATTATTAATAAATTCATTAAAAATAATATAGTAAATTAGTTATTTAAGAAATTAAAGTAAATTAATTTTTATAATATATGTAAAAAATTCAAAATTTGGAGCTTAACACTTGACGTGTCGGGTTCACATTTGATTATCAGTGATTTCATTATTTGATTAACACGCACATATTATGTTTTCCTTTCTATTATTATTTATTATTTACAAGGAATGCATGTTATCTATATGAAGTACAAAATAGGATGTAAAGACAATTGAGAAATTCAACAAATATTATTCTCATTGATTTGTTTGTTTAGAGAACATTCTTTGTACAAGATCTTTCGGTGCACTTTACGATGTTGTAGCAGCCTAGAGAAACTCATGCTTGATTGATATCTCTATGACATGCCTCCTCATTTGTTGACTTTCAATTTTCAGTCTTCATTTCTTCTCAGATTCTTCTTCACTCTTACTATTCCCGTTAGAATTAACATTCAATGAAATAGGGTCTTCTTTATCTTACTGCCCCCATCAGAATTAACCGTCAATAAAATATGGTCTTCAAGTTCACTGCCGTTTTGGAGAGGTTGATGAGTTCGAGAAAAAAGATGCGGTTAGGAGTGGTTTGATAACGAGTCAGAGGGGTAAGGGTTGCTTAGCATTAATTTTTCAACTCCTTGAGTTCATGATTTCTCATTCTCCAACAAAGTTTTTTTAGTTTCCCCAACTATGCTTTTTCGAAGAAATTTTTTTTTTTTTTTTTACTTCGGTTCTTTTACGTCCCTCCTTTTGAAATTTTGAATAACTCCAATCTATTTTGAGCATGACATCTTTCTATGTTAGAAGAAGTCTAAGAAGATGTAGACTTTGTCTTTTACCCAGAGAATGATGGCGGCCCTAAAGTCTAATCAGACTTTCCCAGTATAAATTCATGTATATACTAACCTAAGAGATGCATGATATTTGTTCTTGCCTAAACTTTATCATTTTTTTTACTAATAATTATGATGCATGACCCTTTTTTTTGCTATACATTTTTTTTGTTTTTCAAAATTAGCATTCTACATGTGGAAGTGGAACGGGCCGTTCTGATTTCAGAACGGGCCGTTCTGATTTCAGAACGGGCCGTTCTAGTTTCAAGATTCGCACAAACTGTTCCATCAACCAAAAAAAAGAAATTTAAAATTACTCATAATTCGATTTCTCGAAAATTGAATTCTAATCACAAAAAAAGAAAATTTGAAACTCAGAATTTGGTTCCTAAGAAAATAAATTCTGAATATGATCAGTAAATAGTACTAAATGTGTAAAGATCGTGTATCACGTGCATTTTTTATAAATTTTTCTTTAAAACATTCTTTATATTATCTTCGATGGGCACACTTATCTATTCAATATTCATTGTCTCAGTGTGCGTGTCTTCGTTCAGAGAGAGAATCTTTGTAGTGCGTAATGGAACAGCTCAAGCCAAGCGCCGCTAACTCTTTCCCCCTGGACAGAGCAGCAACCGTCTACGGCGACACTCCTTCAGTCATCTACAACCAAACCACCTTCACCTGGTCCCACACGCGCCGCCGATGCCTCCAGCTCGCCTCCGCCCTCACCTCCCTCGGCATCCGCCGCGGCCACGTCGTCTCCGTCGTCGCCCCCAACATCCCCGCCATGTACGAGCTCCATTTCGCCGTCCCCTTCGCCGGCGCCGTCCTCAACAACATCAACACCCGCCTCGACGCCCGCACTGTCTCCGTCATCCTCCGTCACGCGAGTTCCACCCTAGTCTTCGTGGACTGCGCCTCACGCGATCTGGTCCTCCAAGCCCTATCCCTCTTCCCTGAAAACAGTCAACGCCCAATCCTTATTCTCATCACCGACGACACAGTGGAGAAAACCTCACCCAGCGTTGATTTCATGGACACGTACGAGGGCCTCGTCAGCAAGGGCGATCCAAGCTTCGAGTGGGTCCGGCCCAACAACGAGTGGGACCCCATGATACTCAATTACACCTCCGGAACGACGTCGTCTCCCAAAGGCGTGGTCCACTGCCACAGGGGAATCTTCATCGTCACCCTCGATTCACTTATTGATTGGGCGGTGCCCAAGAACCCAATTTTTCTCTGGACGCTTCCACTGTTCCACGCTAACGGCTGGAGCTTCCCGTGGGGGATCGCAGCCGTGGGCGGCACCAATATATGTGTCCGCAAGTTCGACGCCGAGATTGTTTACTCTCTCATAAAACGCCATCACGTGACTCACATGTGCGGCGCTCCCGTCGTGCTCAACATGCTAACCAACTCCCCCGACAACAAACCGTTGGAGAACCCGGTGCAGATTCTCACCGCCGGATCGCCGCCGCCTGCGCCGGTGCTCTTCCGGACTGAGGCGCTGGGCTTCGTGGTGAGCCACGGCTACGGTTTGACGGAAACCGCGGGGTTGGTGGTGTCGTGCGCGTGGAAGGAGAAGTGGAACCGGGTTCCGGCGACGGAGAGGGCGCGGCTGAAGTCGCGGCAGGGGGTGAGGACGGTGGGGATGGCGGAGGTGAAGGTGGTGGGTCCGACGGGGGAGAGCGTGAAGCGCGATGGGGTCAGCGTAGGGGAGATTGTGATGAGAGGAGGGTGTATCATGTTGGGGTACCTTAAAGACCCCGAAGGAACCGCGAGTTGTTTGAAGAATGGTTGGTTCTACACGGGTGATGTTGGTGTCATGCATGAGGATGGGTACTTGGAAATTAAGGATAGGTCAAAGGATGTTATTATCAGTGGTGGTGAGAATTTGAGCAGCGTTGAGGTGGAGTCCGTGCTGTATGGCCATCCGGCGGTGAATGAGGCGGCGGTGGTGGCGAGACCGGATGAGTATTGGGGTGAGACACCTTGTGCTTTTGTGAACTTGAAGACTGGGTTGAAGAAGAAACCTACGGAAAACGACATAATTCAATATTGCAGGGAGAATATGCCACGTTATATGGTTCCAAAGACGGTGATTTTCAGGGATGAGCTTCCCAAGACTTCTACGGGTAAGATCCAGAAGTTTTTACTCAGACAAATTGCCAAGGACATGGATCCCATTCAAAGTAGAATGTGAAAGCCCATTTTCATGATTAGCTATTTTTCCATACACAGGCTTTGCATCAAATTCCTATTCTAGTATGTCCATACATCTGTTTCTCATTTTGTATTTTCACTCCCTTATTGTGTGTTTGTTAGAGAGAGGAAAGACTCATGTGACAATAAAGTTATGGGAGAAATAAAAATTGAGTGGAAATAAAATAAATAATTTAGTTACTTACTTGAAAAGAAATAAGTAAAAAATATGTGAAAAATAAAGTGTATATATATAAAAGAAAGAGATGACAGAAATAAATAAATAAGAATATAAAATTTATCATTTTTTAATTTTTTTTCTCTTTTATTTCTTTTTAACTAAATAATCCTACTTATTTTTATTTTCCTATTTTTACCCTTTTCATCTTATTTTTTTTTCTATCTTATTTCTTTTTTAACTAAACAATCCTACTTATTTTTATTTTTCTATTTTTACTCTTCTCACCTTATTTTTTTTTTTTATCATCTCTTTTTAACCCATTAATATTGCGAAAGAAGTAAGAGTTTAAGATTATAATAATTGTATTTACGGTGTCACTATCACAACGTACCGAAATTCGACTCTTATCTTTATGTGTCATAAAATATTTAAAATGGATGGCGCTTATTGTAATTGATTAAAAAAAGGTGATGAATGATGATAAGAATGACACTTGTTCAGATCAGATTGTCGTCTTCTCTTGCATAGTCTCTCACATAAATTTAAGATACTGATTATTCGAAAATTCTAACACAATTATTATGTTCCATGGGTAAAGTTTTAATCTCCCATCTACAGGGAAAAAGACAAAAAATATTTTCAATAGACAAATCATAGTTGATCTTTAGGCTTTCTTTTTCCACATGTTTTTACTTTGTTACGTGTTCCACTGTCTCTCAAATACTATGGGCTAATTTAATACTATAAATAAATGTAGCTAAATTGAGTCTGTTAGGAATATTATGAAGAGATTTTCTATTTTTTATAATTCATTATATTTATATATATAATTTTTTAAAATTTATAAGAAAAATTATATCAACATAATTTTTTTAAATTTCAATCCAATAAATATTTCATATTATAATCTAATAGATTTTAAAAAAATAATGGATGAATTATTAACTAGTTAATAAATGGGTTAGATTTTATCTATCATTTATTTATATTATAATCTAATAAATTCTTAAAAAATAATAGATGAATTATTAATATTCATAAAATTAAATAGATAAATTAAACTGAATTTATTATTTTTATTATAATAAATGGATGCATTTCGTAGGCATTAGAAATTTTGAACTAGTAAAATGTAAGACAGCGCTATATACATGGGCTTAATCCACTTTCAACTTTATCCATTACTCACGTAGCTTTTTTTAGTTTCGAAAATTCTGACATGAAGTACCAAAAAATGTGATACATGGATGAAGTATTATTTTTAACCATTAGATTTAATATTATAATAATCAACGATTCAGATTTGTTACCCGTAACTTTGAAAAAATAATTTTTATATTTTGCATATTAGTTCTTGTGTAAAGTATTTTACGTAGGAACTCACCCACGCCGCTACCCACGGCGGCGCCCAACACCACCGTCGCTACCGCCCATGACCGTGACCGTAACAGAACTCGCGATAGAAAAAGAGACAGAGAATGAAGACGAAACAAGGATGACCGTGACCGCGACCACGATCGTGACCGTGACCGTGATCGAGCGTGTAGCAAGAGATCCCATTCGCCTTAGCCTGATTGTAGCCACTCCCGCCACACGCACTCTCCCTCGCCCACCGATTGCTCCCACCGTCCCCGCCACCATCGAACTCCCTCCCTCGACTCGCTACAGAAGCGCCACCAGAGAGATCTTTGTGGATGAGGAGCATAAGGAGACGAAGAAGGCAGTGTCGAACTTCGTGGATAGCATCGTGAAGGAGCAGCAGAAGCAAAAGGAGAACTAAGGCACAAGAGAAGACGAGGGGAACTAGGATGAGGTGGAGATGATGAACTTGGGATTCCCACTAGATTTGACTCCACCAAGGGGAAACTGGTCGCCGGTGCTAACATCAACGGCGTCACAACCGTCACCAAGCGCCAACCGCGCCAATACATGAACCGCCGCGACGTATTTAACCGTTCATTGCCTACTGAGAGGAATCACTAGAGTTTTTTCAGTCGCCACCCACGGCGGCGCCCAACACCGTCGCCACCGCCGCCACCACCACTTCCACCACCCGGTTCCCACCCCCTGCCCCGCATCGCCTCCCTCATCCACTGCCACCTTCCAATCCTCCATCAGCATAAAATTATTTAACATAAGGACTATTTTTGCAATTAAAAATAAGTTTGAAAACTTGCTATTACTGGTCATTTGACTGCCTCATGGATAAGATATTGGTTCAACTACTTCATGTTAGAAGTGCTAGCTCTTTCAGTTTATGTATTGAAAAGTCCAAAATTAATTATCAGTTATATTTTGTCGTACATAATCAAGTCATTCCTTCCGGAAAGCACTAGTAATTGTACTTGGATACGCACATATTTATGTTTGTAAATAATTAGTGAATTTCAATTTTGGTTTTTAAATTTTTTAAATTAATAAATATTATTTTTTTGTTTTTGTAATATAATTAAAATTTAAATATATTCTTAGTTTCTATAATATAAATGAGTTTTAATTTTGATTTCTAAAATTTTATTCTCAATTTTCATTTTTTAAAATTTATAAATATTATTTTTAGTCTTTTTAATATATTTTTAATTTTTTAAAATGTATAAATTTTAATTTTGGTTCTATAAAATATATATGTGTTTTATTTTTTCAGCTGTCTAAAATAAAAATCACAATTATTGATATCCAATGATAATTTAAAAATAAAAATAAAAATAATAACTTTTAATGAATCAATTAAATGACATAATAATTATAATCCAGTTTTAACATATATAATTAATTGCAGTTAAATATAAATGGTTGTATAAATATCACTCTAAAAAAATTTTAAGATAATTTTTATAATTTAATTTATTTTAAAATCCTCAATAATTATTAATTAAAATAATTAATATTTTATTATATCACTATATATATATATATATGTTTTAAAATATCAAAATTACACACATACATATACACACACACACACACATATATATATATATATATATATATAATATCATTTTACAAATAAAATATCTGTATATCTTTATATACATAATTTTTTTTAAAAGATGCAATTGATAATTAATACCATTAAAAATTTGTATATTTTATTATGCTTTTATACTTTCTAATACTAATATATTAAATGAAAAATTATTTATGTAAATTTAGTTTAAAAAATCATGGAAAATTTTTATTTATATTAATTTAAAATCATTAATAATTAATAATTATTATAACTAATTATTTATTATGTCATGTCATTTTAATTTTTTATATTAATAATTTGTTGTATATTTATGTTAATTTTATAAATAAAAAAAATTGATGAAATTTTTTGAGAAAGTAATATCTCAAAAGTTGTAATAAATTTTGATTTTTGTAAGGGGTTTACAAATGTTATAAAATTAAATAAAATTTTATTACTTATGTAATCATATAACATAATAGCACATTAATATAAAAAACTGTAAAAATATTATAAAAGATTAATTATATTAATTTTAAATTAATATAGTTTTAAAATAAATAAAATTAATTATATATATATATATAATTGTAATATTTTAGTATCGATATAAAAAATTGTAAGTATCTAATAAAAAATTATAATAATATGTAAATCCTTTCATGTACGTCATCTAATCCAATCATCATTTTCGTGATTTGGTCCTACAACACACAACAATTTTCATCATATGTTAATATGCAATTTGAATCACATGTTAATTTATGCACAAAAATCAAATTACAGCTAAACTGAGGTCCAAATAAAACATTTTTCAACTTGATATTTTTTTTATTAAGATCAATATATCCCATGTTTTCTATTAAAACAACACTTCTAGTTGTCGCATAGAAAGGTTAATTTGTCGGTCTTTCGTACTGTCTTTAAAAGAGAAAGATAAGGTGCCATGTGGTGTGAAGCTCCACTATCCAACACCCATTCTATTTTTCTTAGTGTTTTTTGTTATTATCAGTCATATTCTTATGCACTCTTGTGTTATGTGTCATGTGCTTTCCATAGAGTGTGTGCACAACCTTTGCACCTTCTGGAGCTTCTTTCTTCTCATCTTCCCAGAAGCTAACAATGCATTAGGTTTTTGTCCTTGTCTACGTGATATATATTTATATTCTCCGCCTCTTAAATGCTAATTACTACTTCCACATTGTAATGAAAAGAAAATACAATAGAGAATAAAAAAAAACATTTATGGTGGTATTAATTATGCTTTTAGAAAGAAAAAAAAAACAATAATCATAGTAAATATTAATTTGTTTTCTAAATATATATATATATATATATATATATATGATTATACATATAAATGAATGTTAAAATCACTTGATTATGATAAATAGTTGTACCTCTGAATAGTTAGAAAAATAATATAAATATTAATAATTTGCACAACATTAAAATAAGATAATTTTACTTAAGGTTAGATATGATGGGCAGAGAATGAGATTGAGAGGTGATGTGGGGTTGTTGCCTTGTTGGCGGCCATGAATATGACTCATCATCAAAAGCCTATGCAATGCGATACACCGGAACATAACTCCCAACCGGGTTGGAATTCCCTCCGGCTTCAGATCCAACTGCACCACTTGGCCCAACCCTTCCAACTGGATCTTGCATAAAAAATAAGAGTTTAATTTTCGTATATCATTTTATATAATTATTATAAAATCAATAACATTACTATAATTTTTAAAAACCACAGTCAATTATAAATAATTTTTACTATAATTTAAAATATTTTGAATTATCATTGATAGAATATTTAATTTTAATTGACTTCAAACACTTATTATTATCATTTATTTTATACATTAACAACCATTTGAAATGCGTATGTACAGGATCATAATGATTACAGTATGTATAAGATCACGAAATAGTATAAAGCAAAGGCATTTTCTTTAAGAATGATATTAATTAAAAGTGATTCGCATAATTAAACCCTTTTTTTTTACAATGCATAATTAAACTTTCACTATTGATTAACCACAATTACCCTTTTAATACGAGATAAGCCAGCCAGCCCCAGCACGCTGTGTTTCCAAAATCCGACATAATGAAAACATTGTAATGTTTTGGGGGGTCACAGATTGAGAGAGAATTTGTGTGATACTGCAAGATAAATAACTTACACAAAACAATATGGTTATAATTAAACGGAACTTAGAGTTAATCAGTAGAAGAAATTGCTTTCTCACAATAAATAATCACAGCTTGAATATAAAAATAACTGATTTTAAAAGTCTTTTTTTCACTAGTGGTAGTTTAGATTATGATGATCATAATTTTCATGGAAGTAGAGCACATGGTTAGTTGGGGTCGGATTTGAGAGTTGTTATGAAGTCATGTTGTTGGTGATGTATTCGATGACTATTTTTGATGATTTGTATAAATGTTACTTGACCGATGACTTTAGAATTTTTATTTTCACAGTTATAGATTTTCGTACATGTATATATATGTTTTTGTATAGTTAATTAATTTACATATATACACACACATGCATGTGCGTACATACGCGCACACACACACACATATATATATATATATAAGAAGAGATCATTTTACTCCAGGAGTAAGTTTACCTAGATTTACTCCGTTCAACAACTCATGTTCTACAACAAATTTCAACGATATCCAATCGTTCAATTAAAAGTTTTTAATGGATAGATCAATAACTCATGTTTTACCTAGATTTGATACTTCATTTCATTAATTCAAATTGACGGATAATTATAAAATCATTTTATACATTAATTCGAATTAATGAAACCAAATATCAAATAATTTTCAAATTTTTTAAAAATTTACAAACTTGATCTATGCATTAAGAACTTTAAATTAAACTGTTGGATTGTTAAAATTTAATGTAGAACATGAGTTATTGAATGGAGTAAGTCTTAAGTAGACTTATTTTTGGAATAAAAAAATCATTCCTCTATATATATATATATATATATATATAAATGAAGTGAATATATTAATCCCAAATATATAGAGTAGTTTCTGCTGTTTGTTGTTGAATCATGAATGTTTCGGTAATAACCAAGATGATTCGTTACACAGAGAAGTACACTTACATGTACGTGTTGCATGTAGGACATATCTCTCATAGTTTACTGGTGATTTTCCGTTCAATATTATTAGCTAGCCAATTGATTAATTATGAGGTTTTTCTACATTAATTCTATTGACCAGAATATAACCATAAAATATAAATTAAAAAAACACATTCTGAAGTAGATTGGAATTACTTGTTGCCTTGGTGTGGCCATATTTAAGCACATCTAGAAAGCAGACATGATCCTCGATCGCTACCTATATAGGATGGGCTTTATTTCCTAAAGCATAAGAATGTCTCCATCTTATTAGAAAAACAAAAGCACTATTTGAATAATCTCTATATTATATTTCAGGTCATCATAAAAAATTCAAAGCCTCCACCTACTTTTTTAATTTAGATATACTATTATTCACTCGATCTTGAAAAACTTCCTACTATTATTTATCCAGTACTAAATAGCAAAACACTAGAGAGACATACATGGCCAAAATGGGAAGTCCAATAAACAGCAAATTAAGACTGTGTAACAAACACCAAGAAATGAACAGCTCCTAAATGCATGCCGCTGGTTTTCGTACCGCATGTGGTTGGTTCATAATATATACTACCCATTTACATTATCCACAACTACTCATGCCGAACTTCATTAAAGTTCACACAGTGCATCAGAAATTATTATCAGACAGTACAAAACCATTGAATTTTCATGATCCTAGACAATCTTTACTCGTCGTAATTCATTTTTTAATAATTTATAAAGAATTAATAACAGTTAATTTAATTCACATAATATAATTTGATAAATAAAATAATTAAAAATCATGATAAATACATGCAAAATATCTTTTGTTTTACTCAGTATATTACGTTAGAGACAACGGGAGCTGTACCATGCCTTGTCTGGCCACAGAATTTATTGCCCATCCAAAAGTATCATCACATGATCACTTCCTGGACACACTGCATGAATTTCAAGTACACAAAGAGCACTTCACCACCTTGAACACTTTATCGCTACAACCACTGTGTACTAGTGTACATCTATTTAAGAACCACCTCAACCATCGTAATAAACCACATAACAAACTTTCATTTTCCTCTCCATTATTGGCATTGCCATTCGCTTACAAACTATGAACCACTTAACCCCAAACCCTGCAAACTCAACACCCCTCACACCACTCACCTTCCTCGAGAGAGCAGCCGTCGTCTACGGTAACTCCAACTCCATCCTTTACGACACCGTTTCCTTCGCTTGGTCGCAGACCCACCAACGATGCCTCCAACTAGCTTCCTCTCTTTCCGTTCTCGGTCTTGGACGAGGCCATGTCATCTCTGTTCTCTCTCCCAACACTCCTCCCATGTACGAACTCCACTTCGCCGTCCCCATGTGCGGCGCCATCCTCAACAACCTCAACCTCCGCCTCGACCACCACACACTCTCGGTGCTCCTCCGCCACAGCGAATCAAAGCTCGTCTTTGTCCACTCAAGCTCCCTCACTCTCATCCTCCGTGCCCTAGCCACGTTCCCCAAAACCATCCCACGCCCCTCCCTCGTCCTTATCACCGACGATGACATCGCAATGTCGACACACCCTCCCATCATAGACACGTACGAGAGCCTCTTAAAGAAAGGCGACCCGGGCTTCAAATGGGCCCGGCCCAACTCCGAGTGTGACCCAATAACGCTCAACTACACCTCCGGCACGACGTCGTCTCCCAAAGGCGTTGTCCACTCCCACCGCTCAACGTTCATAATGGCACTAGACTCCTTAATCGATTGGTCAGTGCCGAAGCAGCCAGTGTATTTATGGACGCTACCGATGTTCCACTCTAACGGGTGGACCTTCCCGTGGGGGATCGCCGCCGTAGGCGGCACCAACGTTTGCACGCGTAAAATCAACGCGCCAACAATCTACCGTTTGATTGAAACCCACTCCGTGACGCACATGTGCGCTGCGCCGGTGGTTCTCAACATGCTGTTAATGTTCAACAAAACCGAACCGGTTAAGAAACCGGTTCACGTCCTCACCGGAGGATCCTCGCCTCCGGCGACGATCCTGACGCGCGCGGAGGAGTTAGGGTTTAAGGTGAGCCACGGGTACGGGATGACGGAGACGCTGGGGGTGATTGTGTCGTGCGCGTGGAAGAGGGAGTGGGACAAGCTTCCGGCGGCGGAGAGGGCACGGTTGCGGGCGCGGCAGGGAGTGAGGACGGTGGCGACGACGGAGGTGGACGTGGTGGATCAGGCGACGGGGGTTAGCGTGAAGCGCGACGGTGTAAGTTCGGGGGAGATAGTGGTTCGAGGCGCGTGCGTGATGTTGGGTTACTTAAAAGATTCAGAAGGAACGAAAAGGTGTATAAGAAACAACGGGTGGTTATACACGGGTGACGTTGGCGTGATGCATGAAGATGGGTACTTGGAGATTAAGGATAGGTCGAAGGATGTTATTATCAGTGGTGGTGAGAATTTGAGCAGTGTGGAGGTTGAGGCGGTGCTGTACGGGCACCCGGCGGTGAACGAGGTGGCGGTGGTGGCGCGGCCGGACGAGTTCTGGGGGGAGACGCCGTGCGCGTTTGTGAGGCTGAAGGAGGGGCTGGTGGCGCCGCCGTCGGAGAAGGAGGTGGTGGAGTTCTGCAGGGAGAGGCTGCCGCACTTCATGGTGCCGAAGACGGTGGTGTTTAAGGAGGCGCTGCCGAAGACGTCGACGGGGAAGATTCAGAAGCACGTGCTGAGGATGGACGCGAGGGCTATGGGGTCCATCATGGCGGCGCCACCTCCTCTTGCTAGTCGCATGTAGAGTGTACTAAATTGTTGTGTTTCTTTTGTTGGGTGTTTGGTGAGTTATTTAATTGATTGAAGCTATTTTATGAATACTAGTGGAGCCGTGTCTCTATATATATATATTATCTTAAAATTTAAAATAACTCATATATGCAATGAATTTATTTGTTGGCATATAATTATATAAATAATTTTATGTAAATAATCATCAATAAAAGGGAATTTAATATTTAATTATTATTATTTATAATGTTAACTTCATATTTATATTATTATTATTTAATATATGTTTGCTTGTTTAAATTCTACATCTGTTTGAATAAAAAAATTGCACACAACAGTTCCCCCTACACCCGGGGGCATGAGGGTATTAAACATAAGGAGTGGTTGATGTACGACTGGCCCAAGTTTGGCCTTGGAGCCTGCGAGCCTTGTTGGAAATCACACTCAAGGTGATAACCGTTTACTCTAGCCCGAAATACTGCGACAGACCTTAGAGTTTGCTAGGTGACGACAATAGAGATACTGGGTCCCTATAATGTGGGCACCTTGGGGGCCTTAAGACCAGTGAGATTAGAATTATCCTATACAACACACTTTTCTTAACAGGGACCACAGACCAAGGATTTGAACGTGATTGTTCGTGGGTTACTTTGTATGAGCATATGTTTGTTGCATTTTGTTTATTCAAACCATTCATTTATTTTTTATAATTCCCCCAAGGTAATGAAAAACATAAAATTAAAATACATTATCATGAGGGAAAATCTAGTGTGAAAATAAGATCTGTGAGAAGCATACATCCCTTCTTTAAAAAAAAGGAACATCATGCATTTTCCAAAAAAATAAAAAATAAATAAAATAAATAAAAGGACAAAAAAAAGGAACATGTAGAACATATATTTAGGATCACAAGGGAATTTGTATCAAAGGCGGGAAATCAGTGTGACCTTTGTCACATCATAAAATATTATGAAGAGGAACATCGATAACTCACCTCTTGACAAGGATGAGCCATCAAGTCTTTGATAGAAACTCCCTTCATGCATTACCATTTAAATAAGCTTGATAAGAAATTATCTTATCCCTTAGAGGTGGCTTTTCAACATTCCGTACTCACACGAGCTCAAAAGATAAAAGCTATGGAAGACCTAGAGGAAAGAAATCGTATCCTCAATGAGGAGCTCGAACAGCTCAAGGAACAAATGGCTAGAATGCTTGAGGCCATGAACAAAAAGTTTTCAAATGATCAACAATAATAATATGTTCGCTTATACATTTTTTAATTTATAAAAATTATTAATAAATTCATTAAAAATAATATAGTAAATTAGTTATTTAAGAAATTAAAGTAAATTAATTTTTATAATATATGTAAAAAATTCAAAATTTGGAGCTTAACACTTGACGTGTCGGGTTCACATTTGATTATCAGTGATTTCATTATTTGATTAACACGCACATATTATGTTTTCCTTTCTATTATTATTTATTATTTACAAGGAATGCATGTTATCTATATGAAGTACAAAATAGGATGTAAAGACAATTGAGAAATTCAACAAATATTATTCTCATTGATTTGTTTGTTTAGAGAACATTCTTTGTACAAGATCTTTCGGTGCACTTTACGATGTTGTAGCAGCCTAGAGAAACTCATGCTTGATTGATATCTCTATGACATGCCTCCTCATTTGTTGACTTTCAATTTTCAGTCTTCATTTCTTCTCAGATTCTTCTTCACTCTTACTATTCCCGTTAGAATTAACATTCAATGAAATAGGGTCTTCTTTATCTTACTGCCCCCATCAGAATTAACCGTCAATAAAATATGGTCTTCAAGTTCACTGCCGTTTTGGAGAGGTTGATGAGTTCGAGAAAAAAGATGCGGTTAGGAGTGGTTTGATAACGAGTCAGAGGGGTAAGGGTTGCTTAGCATTAATTTTTCAACTCCTTGAGTTCATGATTTCTCATTCTCCAACAAAGTTTTTTTAGTTTCCCCAACTATGCTTTTTCGAAGAAATTTTTTTTTTTTTTTTTACTTCGGTTCTTTTACGTACCTCCTTTTGAAATTTTGAATAACTCCAATCTATTTTGAGCATGACATCTTTCTATGTTAGAAGAAGTCTAAGAAGATGTAGACTTTGTCTTTTACCCAGAGAATGATGGCGGCCCTAAAGTCTAATCAGACTTTCCCAGTATAAATTCATGTATATACTAACCTAAGAGATGCATGATATTTGTTCTTGCCTAAACTTTATCATTTTTTTTACTAATAATTATGATGCATGACCCTTTTTTTTGCTATACATTTTTTTTGTTTTTCAAAATTAGCATTCTACATGTGGAAGTGGAACGGGCCGTTCTGATTTCAGAACGGGCCGTTCTGATTTCAGAACGGGCCGTTCTAGTTTCAAGATTCGCACAAACTGTTCCATCAACCAAAAAAAAGAAATTTAAAATTACTCATAATTCGATTTCTCGAAAATTGAATTCTAATCACAAAAAAAGAAAATTTGAAACTCAGAATTTGGTTCCTAAGAAAATAAATTCTGAATATGATCAGTAAATAGTACTAAATGTGTAAAGATCGTGTATCACGTGCATTTTTTATAAATTTTTCTTTAAAACATTCTTTATATTATCTTCGATGGGCACACTTATCTATTCAATATTCATTGTCTCAGTGTGCGTGTCTTCGTTCAGAGAGAGAATCTTTGTAGTGCGTAATGGAACAGCTCAAGCCAAGCGCCGCTAACTCTTTCCCTCTCACCCCACTCGGTTTCTTGGACAGAGCAGCCACCGTCTACGGCGACACTCCTTCAGTCATCTACAACCAAACCACCTTCACCTGGTCCCACACGCGCCGCCGATGCCTCCAGCTCGCCTCCGCCCTCACCTCCCTCGGCATCCGCCGCGGCCACG